AGACCAAAAGGAATAACATACACTTTTGTTACTTACTCTAGACCTACCTACCCTCTGTGGTTCTATGGAATGTAGTAGCTTGGTTATCACTGAGTTAGCAGCTAAGATCCATATATAAGCAAATACATACCACATTTGTCTTTCTGGATTTCGGATACCTCACTCAAGCTGGTCTTTCCTAGTTCCATCTATTTGGAATTAGAAATTTGGCTGGAAATTTCATGGTGTCATTTTGTTGTTGTTGTTGTTGTTGTTGTTTGTTTGTTTTTCAAGATAGGATTTCTCTGTGAAGCTTCGTAGCTTGTTCTGGAACTCATTCTGTAGACCAGGCTGGCCTCGAACTCACAGAGATCCACCTGCTTCTGCCTCCCTAGTGCTGGAATTAAAGGTATGTGCCACCACAGCTGGGCCCATGGTGTTATTTTCTTTTTTAAACAACTAATATTTTATTGTCAAATATACCACATTTTCCTTATCCATTCTTCTGTTGAGGGACATCAAGATTATTTACAGTTTCTGAATATTATGTATACAGTAACATTGAATATGGTTGAGCTAGTGTCTTTGTGGTATGATAAAATGTCCTTTGGGCATATGCCCAGCAGTGGTATAGCTGGATCTTGAAGAAAATCTAGTCCCATCTTACTGAGGAACAGTCACACTGATTTCCATAGTGGTTGCATAATTTTGCACTCCCACCAACAATCAGAGTGTTCCCCTCACTCCACATTGTCACAAGTGTGAACTGCCATTTGTTTTATTGATCTTAGCTACCATTGTTAGACCAGCAAGCACCATTTGTTGAAAATACTATGTTTTCTCCAGTGTGTGTATTAAGAAGCCAGAAGTTTCTATATTAAAAAACAAAACAAACAAACAACAAGTGTTCAGGGCTGGAGAGATGGCTCAGGGATTAAGAGCACTGGCTGCTCTTCCAGAGGTCCTGAGTTCAATTCCCAGAAACCAAATGGTGGTTCACAACCATCTATAATGAGATCTGGCCCTCTCCTCTGGCGTGCGGTCATACATGGAGGCAGAATGTTGTGTACATAAATAAATAAATCATATAAAAAAAAACAAAAAAACAAGTGTTCATAGGTGTGTGGATGTATGTCTGGGTGTGCAATCTGATTTCATTGATCAACTTGTCTGTTTTTGTGCAAATACATGCTGTTTTTATTATAATAAATCTATAGTACAACTTCAGGGAAAGTTTTTGGGTCCAGGGGTGGGGGAGTCATGCAAAGATGGGGACCAACGACCAAAGTCTAATAAAGCAGAAGCAAACTTTATTCCAGAAACCAGATTCCAGGAAAAAATATAGAAAAATAAGATTAAAAGAAAATCTCCCTGGGGCACAAAAAGCTTACCAGCTAGCTGAAACCACAGCCAGAGATGGATTCTGTAAGGCTGTGGCAAAGGCAGGTTTCTGAACCCATCTTTTTTTACTAGGGACACCAGGCATTAGGTCGGAACAAAGGAATTTTTACAATCTCGAGGTAAAAACTCTGATACAGATTGCCTTACTTTACAATTTTCATTAACAGAGTTTTTCAGTTGTACTTAATCTATTGTCTTTCTTGGTACTTCCAGGTGGTGTTTACTGAAGCCCTGTGGTCTACCCTTTGATGCTGCCAGTTTCACATAGCAGGGATAGGGTGTAACCCAGATGTCATATATCTATCTTCTAAAACTTAACTTAGCTCATATCTGTGTTAATCAAGGATGGCGTGCGGTTGGGGGGGGGGGTTAGGCTCTCAATTTGCATAGACCTGTGGGTTATAAAGCGGAATAACCCACTGTTAGAAGTTAATCCTTAAACTGCTGGGAAAGCTGCCGACAGTCTGCTCTCATTCTCCTAGGCTTACAACTTTGTATTTCTTTATTTCTACATTCTTAGTTTTTGAATCTACATTTTTATATTCTTATTCTTGGACCCTTCGAGGTCATACCTTCAGCAGTTCTTCTATTATTCAGGATTGTTTCAGCTATCCTGTTTTGTGTGTGTGTTTCCATAGGAAGAGGAGAGTCATCCTTTAAAGATCTATGAACAATTGAGTTGGAATTTTGATGAGGATTGCACTGACACTGTAAATCGCTTTTGGTAGGATGACCATTTTTAACTATGTTAATCCAACCACACTAAGAATTTTGTTTTCATGACTCCATTCTTGGACCATGTTCCAATAGGTTCTATTTCCTCTTCCAGGTCTTGAACTGTTTCATTGATTTCCTTCCATTGTTTATTGAATGTTTGTGTTTTCAGACATTTCTTTAAGGGATTTATTCATTTCTGCTTTAAGGACTTCTATGATATCCATAAAGGTTGTGTTAAGGTCTTTTTCTGGTGCTTCAGCTTTGCTGGCATATGCAGGGCCTGCTGATTGAGTTGACTGGGCTCTAGTGGAAACATAGAGTTCTGACTGTCATTGTGCTTCTATGCTTGTACCTAGGTATCTGGGCAGGAAGGTTATAGTTCTGGGTGCTGATATCTGGTCTTGTCTTTGCTGGGTGAGTGTTTTGTTCCTTGGTTTCTGTTTCTTCTCTGGTTCTTAGGAGAGTGTGGTGACTGTGTACGCCTGATAGGACATTCTTCCAGAGTCCTGGTAGGTGTGGCTGTGGAATATAGCTGTGGAAGAAGTTCCTTTACAGACTGGGGCCAAAGAATGCCTCAGAAATTTAGAAATCATGCAATGCAACAGATTTCATGTGAGTGATTCATAGGGGGAGGCTGCCTCTGAGTGGAGGAGGCAAAGAGAGAGAGAGATGGACCAGCAGAGACAGAGAGGGACATAGAAAGAGAAGAGAGACAAAGAGAGCAGGCAATGATGGTGGAAATCTTTTAAGGGTATCATGTGTCACATTTGGTGGCTGGTGATAATGTGACTCCTGGTGCTGAGTCACTGAAGGCAGACTGGGGGTGGAGGTGGCGCCTGGTTCCTAACAGAGGCCCCTGGGAGTTCTAGGTAAAATGTGTTTCTACATATTGGGAGCTGACACTAGGAATGGTGATGAGTTGGGGGGCGGGGAGAATCGGGGAGGCTTACAGGAAGGAGGAAAGCAGGTGTTCCATTAATCTCCTGGGTTGGAGGCTAAGGCTGAGGAGAGGCCACGAAAGAAAGTCTACTACAGAGCTAGAAATGAGAATGGGGCATTGGTCTTGGAGGAACGGAGGGGGAAGTGAAGACCTGCAGTTATCCTACCTGCTTCCCTGGTCAGAGAGGATTGGGGGTTCCTAGGAGTGCCTGTTGGAGTTAGGGGCTGGGACAAAGCAGTGGACATGTGTGGGAGGTTAGGGTTTGGCTTGGAAGATCTGTGTGATCCATTGGAGACGGATGCAGGATGGACAGGGAACCCAACAGGTGTGCTGCAGAACTGGAAATGAGACTAGACTTAGGGATTGGGTTTGGAAGAGCAGAGGGAAAGGTGAAATCTGCAGTTAGCTTCCCTGCTCCCCTGGCCAGAGTGACCTCTGAATTCCCAGGGAGTTCCTGCTGGAGTTGGGGACCCAGTCCTTTGGTTTTTTGAGATTGCACATTGTCCTGAATGCCAGGTTGGCCTCAAATTTACTTCGCAGTCAATGATGGCTTTGAATTCCTGATCCTTGTGTCTCTTCCTCCCGAGTGGTGCAATGATAGGTGTGTATCACTATGCCCAACACTATCAGTTCTTGTTCAAGTGAAGCAGGAATACAATTTTCTTCCTTGCATACTTTACAGACTCAGTATGGTGTGTATGTGTTTTTTCCTGAAAGTTGAACAGAGCCTTGTGCATGCTAGACACTCTCCCAGCCTTTTTGAGACAGGGTTTCTTTGTACAGCCCTGGCTGTCCTGGAACTCACTCCTCACTCTGTAGACCAGGCTGGTCTTGGACTCACAGAGATTTGCCTGCCTCTGCCCATGTTACAAAAACTCCCAAACAAGATCACCACAGAGCCCGTATCTGATGCAAACATGCAAGTTTATTGATTACAAGTTTGAGCCACTGACCAGCACTCTGAAACACAGTGGGTGGAGGAGAATGGCCTCAAGCCTTCAGGGTAAGGGGTCTTTTAAAGGCAAAAACCACAAGCAGGGCAGTACGTGTGTGTGTGTTTCAGGATTGGGTAAGGGTAATGCAACCTTTGAATTCATTGGCTAGGGTCTAGAGGAATTTACATTGTCGGGTTAACAGAAAAACCACAAGGACATCTGGAGCCTTTGTGCTGTTTACCAAAGTTTCTCATTGGCTGGCCCACCTGGGTGAAGCGGTCTTGACCAGGGCCCTGGTAATTCGTGGTCTTTCTTGGAACTGTTTGTGGTTTTTTCTGGAACCAGGTTCAGCCTCTTGGTCAAGTCCTGTCTAAAATGGAGTCTGTCATGTTCCTTCAGCTTCATAAATTCCTTAAGAATGCTGGCTTTTATCTAAGCACCAGAAATCCTCCTATAGTCCAGTTTGAGCTGGGTCTAGACTCAATTTTGGAGCAGTTTGTGGGCTTGCCTTTTGATGGTCTGTGTGTGTGTGGAGGGGTATGCTTTGGACCTCACAAAAGAGAAATTTAACATAAAGATATTTAGTAAGCATACTGAGGGTCAGGAAGAAACAAAAGCAAACAAGTGTGAAACAATGGAAAAGGTAGGGGTTGAGGGTATTTTATCAGTTAGAGAAAACGGGACTGGAGATACCAGGCAGAAATAGCAGGTATTCAGACAGACCCTGTGAAACAGCTTGAAGTGCAATTTACTCTTTGAGTCCCAGGTCCTCCTTAGAAGTCAGTAAATGTACCAAATAATAACTGTGTAATAGTTAAAACAAAACCGAACATTAAAATTACAAAATAAACACTTGAGATGTCTGATGTTTTTCCTTAGTCTTTTATGAAAGGGGCAGACATGCTCTCGGGGTCACTGGGACTGGGAAGCTTTTTGGAGTCTCTGTTTTGGCTTATGCCATGTAGTTACATTAACCAAGACTGAGGTAAAGTGATGTGGCATTTTCTTTTTTTTTATGATTTCATTAGCAAAGATAGCGGTCAAGTCACATGATTGCGTCCACCTTAAAGAAGGCAAAATGACTGCAAACCATCTGGTTGCTTTTTTGTTCAAGGTGAGTTCAACTGCATAATAAAGTAAACCCATCCCATCCTGGGTACAAGTCTGTGTAGGATCCACCATCTCACCCAGCACATGCAGATAATTACACGTTTTTCTTTAAAAAGATGCTTTAGTTAAGTAAGTATGGCTATAAGAGGAGATTGGACCTATGCCCTACACAGATAGGCCTAAAACAACAAAATAAACAGAGGAAGAAATTTTGTTTTTTAGTTTGTATACAACTAGTTTCACAGCTTGACTTCTCACAGAGTTGCAGAAGAGACAAGGGAAGTGGAAAGAGATAAAGGTGGTTTGTCTCCAGGTGGTGAATCACTCTCCAAATCTCCCTAAGGAATGTCACCAGCCCAGTTCTGGCAGCTTCAGGTCACTGTGTGCCTCTCCCTGCCACAGAGTCAGGGGACAAGCTTGACTTTTTGTTGTCTTTTACAGCAGTTGTTCTTACTATAGATATTGCCCTACAAATAATAGTAGCCCGATGTGGAAATAGTTTACCCCTAGCTGTCCTGACCAAGGCTCTACGACCTACTGAGCTATTCTGACTTCCTTTTTCCTCTTTCAGAGTCAGGAGGCCAGCTTGACCCAGGACAGGGATTTCAAGGACATTTTGAGACGAACAGGCTTGAGTCTGAAATAAAATGACCAAATCCCATCTCCACACCCAGTTTCTCAGCGATCTTAAAAAGCACAGGACAAGCCGGGCGGTGGTGGCGCACGCCTTTAATCCCAGCACTCGGGAGGCAGAGGCAGGCGAATCCCTGTGAGTTCGAGGCCAGCCTGGTCTACAAGAGCTAGTTCCAGGACAGGCACCAAAAACTACAGAGAAACCCTGTCTCGAAAAATCAAAAAAAAAAAAAAAAAAAAAAAAAAGCACAGGACAATTTTTGCCAATACAACCTCAGAACTGTTTTTTTGTTTGTTTGTTTGTTTTGTTTTTTGTTCTAGGCAGGATTTAGGGGACCTCTCAGTAGGAAAGAGGTCAGAGGCCACAGATCTCAACTGGTCCTTTTGTGTCAAGGAGTGTGAGTGGGGTCTAGCATATTTTTGCAATGTATAAAATTTGTGAAAGGGAGGAGGTACTGTTTTTGGAAAGTCAGTCTAGTGGTATTTTCATTTTAGTGACATCATCAACCATGAGGTTGAATGGTGATAAGGCAGAGACCTTGGTTCCTTGTGTTTTGCCATCACACCCAACAAAAGGATAAGGGTTCAAAGGACAATGTCAATTTAAAAGGCAAGTTGAAGCACACTCACTGCAAACAGAAAGTTTATTCTAGTCACAGTGATACGAATGGGCTTGGGAACCATATCTTCTAGTTGTCTAGAATAAGTGCTCCACAACGGTGCCTGTGAGACTGGTTTCATAAAGAGCTTAGGGTTATCTTATAGAAAGTCAGTTTTGTCAATTACCTCGGTTAAAAAGAAATTGGGCTGGCAAGATGGTTCAGTGGGTAAAGGTGCTTGCTGTCAAATCTAACCATCTGAATTCAATCCCTAGATTCTGCATGGTGGGAAGAGAGAACTGATTCCTGCAAGTTGCCCTCTGACCTCTACGTGTGTCTTATGGCATGTACCACCCCATCTATAAATAAAAATATGCACGTTGGGGGGAGGTTGCTGATTTGTCATGTACAAACTGACGTAAGTGAGAAAGGGCTTTTATTAAGATTATTGTTATGACACCAAAGTCTTGATAGAAACAGCATGCTGGTCAGAATGACCTAGGTCACCTCTGTCTCATACTACATATTTTTTCACTTGAGCTGAAGATCTTTCCTGGACTTGTTCTTACACATTGGGAATCCAGCGGGGGTTTGGGGGGGGGGGGGTGTAGAGTGGGGTGGTGGTGGGGTAGGGGGAGTGAGGGGGTGGCTCAGGCTCTCAAGAAGATACAGTAAACCACGACTCTCTATTGTTCACTGTGTTTAGATACAAATCTGTTACAGTTGTTTGACAGACACCTGCAGGTTGCTGCCCAGGTCCACCCCTCCTGCCAGACTCATGCCAAGGCCAGCCTGCAGAGGGTTCTCCAGATATGCTAGCCCCTGCACCAACCAAGGATGCTAACTAAATGAGTACCTACAGGTTGACTTTACCCACATGCCCACTCATAAAAAACTGTTTATCTCCTAACTTGTTAACACTTTTACCTGATGAATAGAGCCATTTCCTGCCTCCAGGGAAACAGCAGATGTGATGGCTCCTGTATTCTTGGACCACATCATCCCTGTTTGGCATGTCATCATCCCTCCACGCTCCTGGAACTTCACTGCTGCCACTGCCTTCTCTGCCTCCTCAAGGATGATAGTTAACCGAATGCTTCTCCACTCATACCTCCTGCTGAGTATGACTCCTAATTTTCTCTCCCCACGTTGTTCTGTGCCTGCAGGAAGTACCCAAACTTGGACTAGCACCTCTATACCCAAGGAGTCTGAGATGTTTAGGTGGAAGTCCTACTGGCATCCATATATACCCAAAAAGGTTGGAATGTTTGGGATCTCCAGCTTGGGGCTCCATTCTATGCTAAACCCACCTTCAGTGCATCAGGTGGTGGCCCATCCCCTGGAGCTGCCCTTTACAAACTCCTCACTTGAGAAAAGTCAGCCCCTCCTTTGGGCTCCTCAAGACCACGCCTATAGGCTGCTTAAGACCTGGTAGCCATATTTGCCACGGTGAAGCATGATTAATAAAACTCAGGGTCAGAAATTGGGGTTCAACCTGAAAATCTGAAAATCAAAACAGCCAGCCATTGGCTCTTACCTCGATCTCAGTCTGACATGGTGATCCTGCCTCCTGGTGAAAAGACCCCAACTCATTTCAGTTACAGTTATGTCGTTTCGCAAAGGTTCACACAAACAAGCTCAGTTCAGGGAAAGGTCCCCGGAATGCTGAGCAAAGCAGGATACCTGAGGTCAGAGTGAGGACAGCCTTATCGGGCTGCAGAACAGGGGATTTATGGTCAGACATCTGGCAAGATATCCAGGACAGCCTTATCAGGCTGTAAGGCAGGAGATTTATGGTCGGACATCTGGCCGGAGATGGGAGTAAAGACTACAAAGACGACCATATGTGCTTAAGATAGAATCAGGTAAGTTATCTGGTTTCTTTGATCCAGGCCAAGGACCACGAGACCTGCCCTCAAATTCACCCCTCGCCTCATTCAAACTGGCCAGTGAGATCCCTGTAACCACGCTTTTATTTCTGTACTTTGCTTCTGCCTATATAAGTTACCCCAAAACACAGCTCAGGGTGCTCAGTTCTCCATGTGACTGCAGTACCCACAGGCCTGTGAACAATAAAAATTGCCTCTTGTTCTTGCATCCAGTGGCTCTCGGACTTGGTTCTTGGGCACGGGTCTCCACATGTAAAAGACACCCTTTGGGGTGCTCTTTCCTTTCACTGGAATCTCAGAAGGAGGCTGTGTGACAGCTGTTTAGCCTTGTCTTATATTCCTTTCTAGGGCTGGGATTAAAGGTGTACACCACTGGGGTTAATGGTGTGTGTCATTGTGGTTACTGGAATTAAAGGTGTGTGTTACCATAACCTGATCTTTAGGACTGACCAGTGGGACTGTTTTACTTTCAGAACTTCAGGCAGTCTTTATTTATTAAGATACATTTGAAATGTCACTACACCACCTCTGTGCCCTCCTGAGGGTCACCCAGGAGTTCTTTGCTCTGTTCATTAAACCTGGATTTATTAATTTGGTTTGACTGGCTTATTATATCAGCTGCCGTGGATCTTCATTGACCAGGCACTCAAAACTTAAAACACTGTGCTGTTGTTAAAACCTCTGTTTGTCCTGATTTTTAAATTACAAGCATAAATAGAACTTTGTAGTGAGTCTGTTCAGAACAAGGGTCAATATTTCTCAACTAATTAAAATCACATCAAGGAGAAACCAGTAAGGGAAACGACAGCTTAGCGTATGGCTGCTGTGATGCTTATGGGTTCAAGAAATACCCTAATTTTGTTTTGGTAGTTGGCAAGTCATGAGGAGGTTCCATTACCTGATAATATCACGACCCAGAGGATATACTTTGGTTTGACGAAACTGGATTTCATCCTTTGAGACTTTATCTTATTTGTTCATTTTACTAGCAAGTGGAAGCATTCAGTTCCTCAAGACTGCCTGGGAAGAAGAAGAGAAGACCTGCTCATCAGTCATGTATGACTCATTCTCTCTGGGTCACAGAGGAGACAAACTGACAGACAAAGATCAGAGAGGTTATACTATGAATTCTTGGGCTGATTCTGAAATCTTAACTTCTCTTTTTGTTTAGGGGATTTAGAAAGTGCTTAGCTAGGTCCTGGATAGTAAAAGAAGGCAAGGTGAGCAAGTCATGAATAGCATTCTTCCACGGCTGCTTCAGTTCCTGACTCCAGGTTCCTACTTTGGCTTCCCTCACAGATGGATTTATAAGTGATAAACCCTTTACTCCCCAAGCTGTTTTTGGTCATGGTGTTTAACAGCAGAACTAGAAACCCTAACCAAGACATGAATCAAGATCTCTACAAGAGCAACAAGTATTTTTATGCACTGATCCATTTCTGTTGAAAGACCCCTGGAGTTGGGAGACTCTCAAGTCTTGGGATAACACGACCTCCCAAGAACTCACGAGAGACCGTCCTTGCTGAATCACACGAGGTTTATTGACAGGAACCAGCGCACTGGGGCTGAGACTCATATCTCACACCGGTGTAGAGGAGTTCGACCCCAAGTAGCTAGGAGAAGGGGTATTTAAGGGAAGAAATCACAACTCAAAGGGGGTAGGGAAGGCGTCATTGGAAGATTCAGAAAATACCAGTGATAATCACAAGCGGGTAACTCCCTGTTTCTCAAGATTGTTCTCAAGATTATAATCTAACTTTGTGGTCAGCCAGTTCCTGGAACAAAGTCACTGAACTGGCTAACCTAGATTTTTGGCTCTACTCTTCCTGCTAGGGCAGGGGGTCTGGATTTATCCTGGTCTTTCACTGCAGTCCAAAAATAAAATTTTCAAAGCTTCAGTTTTTTTAAACATTATTTATTTATTTATTTATTTATTTATTTATTTATTTATACAATATTCTTTCTGAGTGTATGCCTGCAGGCCAGAAGAAGGCACCAGACCCCATTACAGATGGTTGTGAGCCACCATGTGGTTGCTGGGAATTGAACTCAGGACCTTTGGAAGAGCAGGCAATGCTCTTAACCACTGAGCCATCTCTCCAGCCCCCAAAGCTTCAGTTTTTAGCGAAGAACTATGCTTAACTATGCTTTAGCATGTATTAGTACTTTTTTTCCAATACTTTGAGAAGAATGTGTACCATGTATAACTTAATGGTGTTAAAATTCCTTTTTATTTTATAAATGTTTTGTTAAATGAGTATGAAAACAATTTGAGGAAATTGGAGGGTTATCTTAATATAGGTACTACAGTATATGTTTGTGTCTGCGTGTGTATGTGCACATGTGCTGTGTGTCTGCCAGTCTGTGTATCTGTCCATCTGTCTGTCTATCTTGAGATAACCTCCTAGTATTACAGAAATAATATGCCTTCCCAATGAGAAATCACCTTACACACTTAGAGATTAACAAAGAAAAAGTTCTTTAATGGTGTTTGTCTAGCCTAGGATAATGTTCAAAGAGGAGTTGATCTCTAATAAAAAGACTTTACTAATCTATATACACTATAGGTTTATGCATTTTATATGTGCTGTCATCCTTAAATCTCTTTCAGTTCCCAACCCCAAGTTACATTTTGAGCAATTTTAAGCTAAGCAGACACAGGAAACTACCAGTCTGGCCACTTGGACAGATGGAAGATTTATACATCAAATATACTGCAAGTGGGTTTTTTTTGCAGAATTTTGCTTTTCTCAAAAATTGAGCGTTTTATGGCACCCCAGGACTTAATGCTGTTTGTGAGCCTGTGCTTAGCTACAAGAGGAAGATGGAGTCAGCTGGCCCTTATCACCTAGTACCACACTTCTGGATGTAGTAAGTGTTGAGACTGTGGTGTGAAACTCCATCTTCATTTTCAAAATTATATTCATTATTCATGGTCTTCTGTATTTCGAGGCTCAGGTCTCCAATTAACCCCTTTTTGTTAAATACAAAGAATGTTTTCTAGTTTACTTATATGACTTTAACAGTGAAAGACTTTGGGGCACCTCAGCATTACTGCACCCCCTTCCTGGGAACCAGGATCCTGGTAACCAACCATGCATGCACTGGAGCTCTGAGTACTTTCCATCCCCTTTGCAGTCTTTCTTCTATAGACCCAGACCCTGGACCTGGGGTGAGACGACCTGCAGACGACCTGCAAGTGTTCCTCCTTGTTCACCCAACCCAGCAACCACCATATCATTGATCAATTAGAGTTAGCTGACCATTGAATGAACTAGTCAAAATAGTTGATAAATGATTTCTGGACTCTCCCTTTTGATTCTGTACTACCCTCCTTAATCTGTGCTTTTTTTTTTTTTTTCCTTTAAAAGAGCCTGTAATAGTCAAAGCAGGGGTCCTTCTCCTCTCGAGACTGAGGAGCCAGCAAAAATAAAAATTCTTCTTGCTATTGCATCAACCGCGGTGGAGAGTGTCTCTTGGGGCAACCTCCTCTTTGGTGGGGCTTTAGGGCCCAACAACAGAAATGAATGTTATGCCCAAATCTGCGAAGTCCCCCGCTAGAAGTCAACAGGAGAAGGAGTCGTGTATATAAAAGCAAAGAACCTTTATTTTCTGCAAGTTTGCGAACTCAGTCTCTCCACATGTCCAACATTTTGGAATAAACAGAGTCCTGTGCTCAGTTAAAATGGGGTTTTATAGTAGTAAAGGTGGGGGTGAAGGGTTTCTGAGGTTCAGGACCCCTGATTGGCTGACGTTTGTCTAGGTGTGTCCTGGTGAGTGTGTGCTGACAGGTGGTCGTATCTACAGCGGTTGGAATGTTAGGCATTTCCTTTGGGTAGTCTCTTTTTGGCTGGTGCTCAGGTAATCTTAGATTGTGGTTCTTCCTGCAACCAGGTATTGCTTCAGGGCAAACTACTGAGACTCGGGCCTCTATTAATTTCATCAATGGCTGAGTCCTACTCTGGCAGGTGATAATGATTGGAAGTAAAGAACTTCCTTTGGGTGATCTGTTCATACTTAGCATATCATGAACAAGTTTTGCTCGTGTCTTTTCCTTTATGGTGCCATTTCTCATAGTTCTCGATTGTTCTAGTGTCTTCAAACCTTCTCCTTTGTCACGTCATCCAACATAGGAGTCTTTCAAGACTTGATCCTTGGTGTCTTTTCATTTTGATACTGTGACAGGGTAAGGATGCAGAAGTTCCTCTATCTTGTATTATTGCTGAGACCATTTCAGGTTTGAATAGAATTCGATCTCTTTTATGTAAAATCCCATAAAAAATTGCCCAACTTGCCCAGTTTGGTGGTAGCATACACCTTTAAGCCTAGTACTTAGGAGGCAGATGCAGGTGAATCTCTGTGAGTTCAAGGCCAGCCAGGACAGCTAACGCTACACACAGAGAGACCCCGTCTTAAAAAGCAACAAAAATTACCCAACTTTATTCTAGAAACCCTAGGTCAAGATGCCCTGGTTATCTTATTTTAGCTTCTGTTAACTGCCTGCTCACACAGACTCCCTCTGGCTAATTAGCTTCTGTTAAATTGCTTGCTTTTGGTTCCCCCACCCCCTGCCTCCAGCAACCTTTGAACCACTGTGCTCTGCACACTCAGTGTCTCATTACCTGAATATATTCCCAACTGTCAAGGACAAAGACTTTTAATTGACATAAACATCTCCCGAGTAGCCATCTCCGGTGAGTTCTCTGTCAGCATACAGAGGAAATCAGGGACCCCTTTGAGGGCTCTTTGTTTCGTTTATAAAAGAATGTAAGGATGAACTTGAATGGAAACACAAGGACAACTTTTCTGAGTTTCAAAGAAAAACCATGGAGCAGGCAAGCTATAAAACCTCGGTAGCTGCCTAGAGAAGAATGAAGGAGAGAAGGGAAACGCCATTCCTTTTAAGCTGGCATGGAGGTCAGATGTGAGAGATAAGCAGCCACCTCCCGTGGAGGGAGAGTTTAGAAAAGAGTAAAGAAGGTCAAAACCCTGGGGGGGGGGGGGAATAACCCAAAGTGTTAAGAAAAACTAGCTTAGAAAGCTGATGAAACTTTCATTGTTATAGTGAGAGCCAATATGGGGTTAGGAATAAACCTTGTGCTAGGGAATCTACAAAGGTGATCCCAGCTAAGACTCCTAGTAATAGTGGAGAGGGTGCCTGAATTGGCCTTCCCCTGTAATCAGATTGGTTAATACCCTAATTGTCATCAGGGAGTCTTCTTCAGTAACTGAGGGAAGCAGATACAGAGATCCACAGCACCAGGTTGAGTGAGCTCTGGGAGTCAAGTCAAAGGAGGAGGGATGTAGGAGCAAGGGGTAGGGGGTGTCAAGATTATGATGGAGACATCCACAGAGACAGCGAACCTGAACTTGTGGGAACTCATGGACTCTAGACCGACAGCTGAGGAGTCTGGCATTCTGCATGTGAGTGACAGTTGTGTGCTTGGTCTGTTAGAGGGGCCCCTGTCAGTGGGACCAGGATCTATCCCTGGTACACTAGCTGGCTTTTTGGAGCCCATTTCCTATGGTAGGATGCCTTACTCAGCCTTGATGCAGGGGGGGAGGGGCTTGGTCCTGTCTCTCCATGGGAGCTTTACTCTTTCAGTGGAGTGGATGGAGTGGGGGTTGTGGGGGAGGTGGGGGAGGAAATGAGAGGAAATGTGGCTTGCTAAGATTCTGCATGAGCTTCTACACTGGGGGGGGGGGATTGGGGGAAGAAAAAACATGGTATTTCCTTACACAACTAAATATTCCACCTCATCTCTTTAGCATGGTTTAAGGTGAGTCTACCTTGCTAGGATCCTTAGCCAAAGTGATTGACCCAGCACACTGGGAATTTTATTTCTCCACCCAGGTGAGTGACCAGGAACTTATTTTACTCTAACAATTCTGCATATAAAGTTTTTACAGTTCAATCCAAATCAGACCAAATCAAGCCAAAGTTTAAAAAGCCCAGGTTTAATAGATGCCAGAGCTCCCAGGAAGGTTCTCTGGTGGGGGAGGGGGGACAGTTTAAATAGTCCTATGGGAGTGGTCTTGACCCTCTCTGGGGAGGGGGTCACCGTTTGGCGGGCTTTCTCAGAGGTGGAGTTTGAACTGAGGCAACTCCCAGGGGAGGGGGCTTGAAATGGAACTTTTCACTCAAACATTCCAAAATTGTAAAGAGCTTGGAAACAGATCCTTCTGAATGAGTAAAAAAAGGGGAATCTATAGCATAGGTAAGGTAGGAAATCTATAAGGATAAGTATAATATGGAAAATAGAAAATTAAGTAAGAAAACTATGTGAAGTAGAAAACTATTAAGGAGAAATATTAAGAGAACATTTTTGCCCACTTAAAGGCTGCCACACCCATCTGGCCCTGCCAGATGGGAAGACTGCATCCAGCAACCTTGGTAACAAAAGTAATCTTGCCACCCGAGAAGGACCCAACCCTTCTGTGTCCAGTCGATACTATAGCCTAGGACATCTGGCTATCAGAAGGATGCCAGGGGCTGGGGTGAAGTCCCACCCAAGCATTCCAGACTGTTTGGATATAGTGGTGTCAGCTGCTCGGGTGAAGCTTCCAAACATACACTCCACAAGTGCTTTCAAAGAAAAAGAGGTACTCAATTTTGAAAAGAGAAATTTACTTATCAATAATAGGTTGGCTGGCCCAGGATTGAGCTAGATCTTTAAGTAATAGTTTCTGCTTAATTGTTCTCCCTCCAGGACCACTAGCTCAGGAGTGGCATTGCCCACAGTGGGCTGGCCCTTCCGCAACTATCACTTAAGAAAACCCCCCACAGGCTTATCTACTGGCCAAACTGATGGGACATTTTCTCGGCCGATGTTTATTTTGCTCAGATGACTTCAGCTTGTCTCAAGCTGACAAAGCAGGATTAACTGTTCTGGCTAGTTTTATGTCAATTTGAAACAAGTTAGAGTCATTGGAGGGGAAGGGTCCTCAACTGAGAAAATGCCTCCATAAAATCTGGCTGTAGGCAAGCCTGTAGGGCATTTTCTCAACGATTAATTGGGAGGGCTTAGCCCATTGTGGGTGGTGCCAACCCTGGGCTAGGGGGATCTGGGTTCAAAAAGGAAGCAGGCTGAATAAGTCAGAGGAAGCAAGCCAGTAAACATTACCCTTCCATGGCTTCTGCATCAGCTCCCGCCTTTAGGTTCCTGCACTGTTTAAGCTCCTGTCCTGATTTCCTTCAGTGATGGACTATGATGTGGAAGTGTAAACCAAATAAACCTTTCCTCACCAACATGCTTTTGGTCATGGTCTTTCATCACAGAAATACTAACCCCGACTAAGACCCCAACCAACACAGTTTCCTTCCATAGTTTTGTGGGGATTTTTGTTTTGGTTTTGTTGGTTTTGTTTTGCCTTTTGAGACAGTCTTACATGTAGCCTAGAGAAGACCAGGCTGGTATCAAAGTTACAGAAATCTGCCTGCCTCTACTTCCCCAGTGCTGGGGTTAAAGCAGTCTTTCTTAACTTTCCTAATGTTACGACCTTTTAATACAGTTCCTCATGTTGCGGGAACCCCAACCAAAAAATCAGTTTCATTGCTACTTCATAGCTGTGATTTTGCTACTGTTGTGAATCACACTATAAATATTTTTTGGAGACAGAGGTTTGCTGAGGGATCCTGACCCACAGGTTGAGAAACACTAGTATAAAAGCATCTGGTACCTTGTGGCCTTTGGTTTTGTTTTTATTGATTGTTTTCAGTTTTCTGTGTACAGTGGTGCACGTAGGGGTCAGAGGACAACATACAGGAGTTGGTTCTCCATTACTGTGATTCTCAGGTATGGGATTCAGCTCGTCAGGCTTGGTAATCAGAACCATTTCTCTCTAAGCCATCTTGCTGATTCTAGTTATTTTTATTTATTTTTAAACAGTGTTTATTTTGTTTTTATCTGTCATTTATCTTCTATATCTATCTATCTATCTAACATCTATCTATCTATCTGTATCTATCATTTATCTATCTTCTATCTATCATCTATCTCTCTATCATCTATCTATCTATCTATCTATCTATCTATCTATCTATCTATCTATCTATCTATCTATCTATCCATCTGACGATGCAGGGCGATCGGTAATGAAAAGTCCCCAGACTATCTTACAAAAGATACAACTTTAATAAAAACAGAAGGGAAAACTTACACAGAATCTCACCCTGCTGGAACGCTGGATCCAAGCCAGGTCGAGAGGAGAGAGAGTGCGGGGACTTTCACCCGCCAAGTTTATAGGTAAACTTTTGCCTTAGGGAGACACGCCCCACAAACAGAATGTGATTGGCTGAACTCCCCTATCATCCATCTATCTCTATCTATCATCTATCTATCTCTCTATCTCTATCTATCCTCTCTCTCTTTCTCTCTCTCTCTCTATCTATCCACCATCTATCTAGAGGGGGACTCACGGGGAGGGGTGGTCCCGTGCAATTGTGTGAGTGGAGGTCAGAGGACAACTTGTGGGGGCTAGGTTGCTGCTTCTATCTTATGGGTTCAGAGATTAAACTCAGGTTTTCAGGCTTAGGGTAAATATTTACTTTCTGGGCCATGTTGCCAGCCCATTTTTAAATTTACCTTTAAAAAATTTTTTATTTCTTTTTTTCCAACAGGGTCTGATGTAATCCAGGCTGCCTTGGAACTTTCTCTGGAGCCGACAATGGCTTTGATCTTGCTGCTTCCACTTCCCAAGTGTCAGGACTGCAGGCAGGTACCACTATACCTGGTCATTTCTGCTTCTCTTACAAAGTAGAAGTGTGGTATGCATGCAAACTGAGGGAAGAGCCTACTACACAGTCTAAGCCCTACTCCATTTATACTGACTGATAAGCTATTGCAAAACCCTGGCTTCAGATTTCATGGTGAGGCCTCAATTTTAAAGTATCAGAAGTTTACCTTGAGGCAACAGGATGTCTAACCCACAGATAGTCCTGAGATCAACCACAAGAACTTGAACAATTTCAAAAAGGAGTAAACAACTTCTAGTTCAAGAGGGTTATAAGCCAACCTGCAGAGTGCAAGAAATGTTTTAAACCTATCAACCGAGAGGCAGAGAATGATGTTGAAAAGAGTGGGCAGGATAGATGAAAAAGGCCTGTGTAGCCTGGTATGGTGGTGCGCATCTTAAATCCCGTCACTTGGGAGATGGAGGCAAGAGCATATGTGAGTCCAGGCCGGCCTAATCTGTATAGTGAGACTGTCTCAAAAATAAACCAGTGAGATGGAACCACAGGTTTTGTTCGGAGATCTTTTGCATGTGTACTGTTAGTTACTAAACATTTCTTGCTTTATCTCTGTTTGTGTCCTGCTGAATTAGTTTGAATTATTCTTGTCAGTCAACGGTAGAATAACTTCAAAGCTCTGTAACATTTTTCATCTACCTTTAAAGGATTATGCTTATGAGATTATACTCAGGCTGGGAAAGATCTGCAAGAGCGGCAGCATTAATTGCTGAGCCAATTCTCTTGACTTTTCAAAGCCGGCTGTGCTGTACCCTGATGTGGTGATGTTTTGTTTGTGCTCTAACAAAAAAAGCTTGCCTGAAGATCAGAGGGTGGAGCTATGTAGTAGTTAACCATAAAGGCCGAACAGTGGTGGCACATGCTTTTAGTCCCAGCACTTGGGAGGCAGAGGCAGGCAGATCTCTGTGACTTCAAGGTCAGTCTGGTCGACAAAGCGAGTTCCAAGACATCTAGAACTGTTACACAGAGGAAATTTGATGTAGCACAAATTCTAATTGGTCTTAATAATAAAAATTCAGAGTCAGATATTTGGGGTAAAAGCCGAAAGATCAGAGAAGTAAAGCAGTCAGCTTTTAAAGTTCTTACTTCTATGAAATGCTCATACCGACAAAAGTTGAGCTCCTGTCTCCTCCTGCCTTATATTCCTCTCTCCACACAGCCATTATCACTTCCTGTCTCCACCTTCCTAGTCCTGGAATTACAATCATGAGATCCCAAGTGCTGGAATCAAAGGTGTGAGCTCTGGGTCTCTCCCTTTTATATATATATGTAAAATATATAGTGAACTATATATATAGTAAAATAAATAAATAAATATATATAGTGAACACACTTTCTAAAAAACTTATTTATTTATTATGTATACAATATTCTGTCTATATGTCTGCAGGCCAGAAGAGGGCACCAGACCCCATTACAGGTGGTTGTGAGCCACCATGTGGTTGCTGGGAATTGAACTCAGGACCTTTGAAAGAATAGGCAATGCTCTTAACATCTGAGCCATCTCTCCAGATCCCCTCTGTGTCTCTTTTAACCTGGTTAAATCTCATGTAGTCCATGTAGGATAAAAGGGACAACGGGAGCAGGAAACCAACCAATCACTGAGCACCCTGACTCTGAACCCAGAGCCAGTGAAAGAAACACACCCTGGGTCTGAGACCTGAGGCAGGGAAAGAAACATCTTTATCCCTGAACCCAGGACCAAAGAAACATGCCCTGACTCTGAAACTAGTGACAAAGAAACACACTTTGTCCCTAGAAGCAGAGTCAGTGAAAGAAATACTCCCTGGTCCTAAGATTAGAGTCAAAGGCTAAAGAGGACCAGTGAAAGAAACACAGTTTGGCCACAAAGTCAGAGTCATCTCTGCCTCTGACCAACTAAACTAAACAATCTCTGAGCAGAGAAAAACTAACCAATCCCTCTTCTTCCTGGAAAAACTCCACCACTGAGAAGCCCTATATAAGCCTCTCTGCCTATTCAGTTAAAGGCGGCCATTTATCCCTCTTTGGCAGAGGTGGCCACTCTCCTGGATTCCTCCTTCCCAAACAAATCTCTTTCTCTAAAGAGTCTTGCATAAAGATCTTCATTTGCTGGCGCAGAACAGAAGAACTGAAAGGCCAGAAAAGATTCCATTTCTGTGCTGGGCCATTTTGGGACTTTGAACTACATCCCAGCCCCTAGGATAAGCTGAAGGCCATGGGACCCCTCTTTAGAGGAAGTATTATTTAATGGAACCTAAGTTATACGAAGTTGCTGACTGCAGCCCATTCCCCCAACCGTAGTCATACAAAGAATGTTGACCACCCAACTTCCCCCTATCAGTTGGGTAATGTTTCAAACAGCTCCTGTGGTTAGCACAGGGCCAGCAGATGTCTGGAGGATGTAACCAGGGGGACTGTTGCCCCGCCCCTTAGATAATAATAGCCTATCAGGAACTAGCAGCTAAGCTTTACCTAACCTTTAGCCAATTATGATATAGGATAAGTAATTTTGTACGTTGAAACTGTAACCTTGTGATTGCTTTGTGGTTTTTGTCTTTATAAACCCCTTACAATAGTAGACAGGGTCCTTCTCCTTCCATCTGCTGTGTCAGACTGTGAGGCAGAGGACCCATGCTAGCCTGTACTTAAAAAATGAAACCTTGCTTTTGCATTTGGAAGTGTGGCTTCATGGTGGTCTTCTTGGGGGGTCTCAGGACTCAGGCACAACAGAATCTGGCTGGGACATCCCTTAGGGGACTGAGCTGAAAAGCCTTGCTGAGATGCTCCCTTAGGGGGCCTGAGCAAGGGGAGCAGAACAGAAGAACCTTGCTAGGATGTTCCTTAAGCGGAGGCTGAGCAAGGCCAAACAGAAAAAAGTAACAACTTTTCACCAGAGTCCTGGGCCTGAGAAGAAGTGGATAGCTCTGCTAGGACGTTCCCTCAAGGGAACAGAGCAGAGCTCAGCTGTAGTGGCTGTCCAGAGAAGAGCAGGATTGCTATATCCTGTGGGGAGACCATCCCCCACCGCACCCCAGCTTCAAGTAGCCTGGCTTCCTGATAGTCAGGACACTTTCCCTCCAGAGCTGAGCTGTCCTATTGCGGTTCCAGCCTGCATAGCCGTCCTATTATGGCTCTAGGTTGCCTGGCTTCCCAGTTGATGTGGGATTTCCCTCTGTATGCTGTGATTACCGTGAATAAAGAACTGCTTTGAGCCTATGGCAGAGCAGGGTGTGGCGGAGCAGAGCTAGGCAGGATGACTGGACTGAATGCTGGGAGAAAGAAGGGCAGAATGAGAGAGACACCAGAGTCAGACACTGGGAACTTTGCGTGGCGACACACAGATCAATGGAGATGGGTTAAATTAATATAAGAGTTAGCCAATAAGAAGGTAGAGCTAATGAGCCAAGCAGTGATTTAATTAATACAGTTTCTGTGTGATTATTTCAAGGCTAAGTAGCCAGGAACCATCAAGCAGCCTCTCTCCTTGCAACACCCGATAGTCAGGACACTTGTCCTGTAGGGCTGAGCTGTACGATTTTGCAGCTCCAGCCTCCAGAACCGTCCTTTTGTGGCTCTATCCCCCAGAGCTGAGCTGTCCTATATTGGCTCCAGCCTCCAGAGCTGTCCTTTTGCAGCTCTATCCTCCACAGCTGAGCTGTCCTGTTTGTGGCTTTCTATCCCTCCAGAGCTGCCTTATTGCGGTTCTAAGAATAGCCTGGCTTCCTGATAAATCAGGAGACTTCTGCAACTCTACAACTGAAACACATTCCCCTACAGCCCAGGCCAGTGTGGCCTTGAATTCCTGACCTTCCTGCTTCCACCTCCCAAGTGCTGGGATTGAAGGTGTGTGCCACCACTGCCTGTCCTCTATGGTAAACGGGTGACTATCTCTATCCTCTGATCTTCAAGCAAGCTTTATTTGTTAGAGCACAAAGAAAATATCATCACACCCTGATGTTCAAACATAAGATCCAATAAAAGGCTTCTCCAGGGTGGTGTATGATGGTACATTCTTAATTCTAGAACTAGAAGGTAGAGGTAGGAAGATGTAATTTTGAGATTGTTAGGAATATTTCCTAATGTGAGCTCCCTGCAGACACAAAATTTCCAATCAAGTCAAATCAAAACAAGCCAAATTAAGAAATATCCAGGTTTAATGGGAGTTCTGCACTCTTGGGTGGCCCCGAGGGGGGAAACCGGGAAGCCAGCAACCACCAGGAGGAGGAAAGAGGGAGACCATGTGTTCCTCTTTTGGGGGCTCATTTAAATACCCTGGGCATGGGGTCAGGACCTGGCCTGCTGGGATTTGGAGTCCAGACCAGGCTTGGGGGCTGGGATAGATGCGAGGGGCTGGGGCCTACGCTCCCAACTTGACAGAGATAGAACATACTAGACTAATTTGGGTTATACAACAAGACTCTGCCCCCATTCCCAAAGTGTGTGTGAGGGGAGGAGGAGGAGCAAGAAAGGAAGGATTTTCTCTTGAATGATCTTCTCTGGTCTACTCATAATCTTTATTATATTGTATTTACATGATAGGGTCTTATCATGTAACTATGGTTGGCTTGGAACCTGCTATGTAGACCAGGATGACTCTGAACTCACTCTGCCCCTGAGCCTTAGGACTAAAGGTGTGAACCACCACACCCAACTGTTAAGTTGGGAGCATAGCCCCCAGCCCCTGGCATCTGTCCCAGCCGACCTGGCCTGGGAGTTGCATGGCTCTGGACTCCAAATCCCAGCATGCCGGGTCCTGATCTCTCCCTGGAGGGCGGTCAGGACCACTCCCACAGGGTATTTAAATGGGCTGCCAGAGGAGAAGCATGTGGTTTTCAGGTTTGCATGGGCTCCCTGCTGTCCTGTCTCCCTGCCATGTGCTCGGCCACCCGAGAGCGTCTTACTTAATAAAATGATTGACATTTTGATTTGGTTTGATTTTATCTAATTGGATTTCTTTGCGCCGGTGGAGCTGCCTTTCTTCTTATTTTTTTTTAAACACCAACTTTATTCAAAAAATTTATTATGGGTAGAGCTGACTGAATTTATAACACAACAGGTGGTAGTGTTGTGTCCTTGTCATGAGACCCCCAAACAAGACCACCACAGAACCACAGAGCTGGTTTCTGATGCAAACACACAGGGGTTTATTGAATACAAGCTCGAACCCAGATTGCAGTCCTACACTCTGACTCAGCCGGTGAAGGAGAATGGCCCTGAGCCTCTGGGGCTGAGGGTTTTTAAAGAGAAAAACCACAAGCAGGGTGGTACTAGCCTTGGTGTTTTGGGATTAGGTACAAATTAGGTAAGGGTAGGTGACCTTTGAACTCATTGTCTGGGTCTAGGGGGATTTCCAAACAGCAGTTAACAGACACCCACAAGGACATCTGAAGAAAGCAGATGTTGGTTATCAAAGTTAGTCATTGCTTGACCACCTAACTTTGACCGAGGAAGGCACAGTTTGTGTCTTTTTCTTAGAAATGTTTATAGCTTTAGCTGAGTCAGCCCTTGGTCAAGTATAGTTTATAATGAAGTTCTTTCTCAAAATCGAGTCTGTCCTGCTCCTTCAGTAGCCGTAGCAGAGGCAACAGCATTGGTGACAGTAGCAAGAAGGCAACTGAAGAGATCCAGAGTTTACTGGGTACACAAATGGCAGAGATAATAGAGGACTGTGGGAATGTCTGAAAGGCCCCAACCCTAGTCTCCATTCTAAGATGTTTTGATCAACTAGGCCAGGGCAAAACAGGATATCTGTGGGCAGCCGAAGCAGTCTTGAGAAAAACATCCAGTCCTTTGTGTATCGAATCCCAAGGGGGCAGAAACTGACTGAAACTGGCTTAATCTAGACTTGTTTTTGTCCTGATGTTGATCCACCCCATATGTTAATTTAATTTGAGTTGACCAATGATGTTGCTGTTGCTCTGCTTCCCCCCCACCCTCCGTTATGTAACCCTGAGACCCTATAAACACTTGCTGGAAAAATACAAGGGGGACTCAGTCTCACTGGAGCACTGAGTCACCCGTTGGCGCCTTCGACAATAAAGAATCCTCTTGCTGTTTGCATCCATTGGCATGGCTTATTGAGTCTGGGGGATCCTTCCCTGAACCCTAGAAATTAGGGTCTTTCAGTCGAGACAGTGAGAACAGTTGAAAAGCAATGCTTCTAGAATTGTTTATCTGATGGGCAGTCAAGTTAGTAGCACATTGGAGGGCACAGGGCCAGATTATGGT